CTTGCGGTGCGGGGCGCCCCATTCCCTGTAAGCCAGCTCGGACAGGTATTCCAGGCTCTCGCTGTCCGTAGAGAGAGAGAGAGAGAGTGGGAGACGTAAGGTGAGGTGAGCTGTGAGGCAACTGGTTCGGCCCATGATCGATCGGAGGGTGCATCGTACATGACGCGGTAGAAGTTTTGGTGTTGGTACAGGTCGTCCACGTGAAAGATGAAGCCCGGCGGGATCTGTGTCGTTGACGCCGTGTCGTCGTGTCAGTCCGGACGCGGGCATGTCCTCAGAGGTGGGCGGGCGGGGGGACGGGGGTACCTTGTTGTCGCGCAGGGCCTCGATGAAGTACATGATGTTCTCGCGTCGCTTGAACCCGAGCTCCAGCATTTTGCCTGGGCGGTGGAAAGTAGCGTGTTGGTGAAAGCCATGTTTTCGCGCCAAGGGCGTAGAGGAAGGAGGAGGAGGAGGAGCAAACCGGTGTGGATGCGGGGGATGGAGCCTTGGTCCAGGCCACTCATCAGTTGGCACAACACCACCCCGTCCTGACAAGGGCAGGGAGATCAACCATTCTTTGAGATTGTGCAAAGAAAGATGATGAAGATGATAGAGATGAAAGGTGTAGAAGATGATCACGAAGAAGTGAAAAGGACAATAAAACGTACGGCGAGGAGGGCGTAGAGGGCGGGTTGAGATGACCGCAGGGGCGTGCCCAGGCATTCCTCGATCCATCGCTGCACGGCCGATTCGCGAAGCAGGAAGTCCTCGACAGCTACGCGCGTCAGCGATTCATATGATTTATCGAGCAGCTGCCTCGAAGGTGAAGGAGATGAAGAAGTTGAAGACGGCCCCTCTCCTGAATGTCGTTTGGCGGCCTGTTGCTGTTGCATCAACTCACGCCATCGCAGGCCGGGAGGAGGAGGTTTGTGATCATTTTCCTCGAGTAATCGAACATTCATTTTCCCCCACTTGGCCCGTCAATCTTGGCGCCCCTCTTTGTCCTTCCAGAGGGACAACAACATTAATAAATTAATTGTCGCCATTTCCTTCACGGATTTCCTTATCTTTCGCCCAGCTAAGGAAAATGAGTGGAAATGATTATTTCCCCGAAGAACCTGGAGCACGTTACTGGGCGGCGATCCGGTCGAAGTAGGGCTGCACGAAATCGAAGAAGTCGAACTCCCTGGTCTCGAGGCCGTACCGGTAGATGTAGCGGCTGCCGAGGTAGGCGCCGAAGATGGCACGCAGGTAGTTCTCCGGCACGCGCTGGCACAGACCCGCCACGCCACCCACCAGCTCCAACAGGACCGGAGGGCAGGCCTCGGCCAACACCAGGTTCCTGTCGCGCGCGACACAAACGGTACCGCCAATCACCATCAATACGCGATCAGCAAACACCAATCAACAACACCACGACAGGGAGGACTTACTTGAAGGCCTGGTTGGTCCACAGGTTGGAGTTTTGGATCTGAACGTTG